CCGCCGGCCGGTCCGAGTTTCAAGTTGAGTCACGGCTCGTTAGCGAGGAAACCGGAAGGTTCAGTTTCTCGTTTTCCAAAACCGTTTAAACGAATGTCACTCTGACCAGATCAACCGTTAAGCCCAATATAAATAAAGAAACAACGGTCAGTATAAGCGGTTGAGCCCAAACCCTAACCGGTCCATCCGGTCGCTCGCCCACGGTTTATAATCCCCATTTTAACCACCCCAACTCGGTTCTGTTTCCCAAATAGACTTCTCTCTGTTTATCAGAAGTATTCAAAGAACCATAAACAAGTAAGCTCTCTCTTCTTCCTCTCTCACCCTCAATTTTTATTTGTTTAATTTTATTGAGTGAAGCATATGCACCATATTGATGCTGGGATTGATGGGTTTCTGTTGAATTACTTGGTTTAACTTTGAATTGAAGAAGAAAGTGATTGTCTTGTTGTAATGGGTTTTGTCCTTTTTTGCAAATAAGTTAAGTTTTTGGAGGTTGTGGATATGGCTTCGGGTCTGGTAATGGAGCCTGTACCGATTACATCACAAAAACACGACCCTGCATGGAAACATTGTCAAATGTTCAAGAATGGGGAGAGGGTTCAACTCAAGTGTATATATTGTAGCAAATTGTTTAAGGGTGGTGGGATTCATAGGATTAAAGAACACCTTGCTGGTCAGAAGGGTAATGCATCTACTTGTCTACTGGTTCCACCCGATGTTCGGGCTTTAATGCAACAGAGTTTAGATGGGGTTGTGGTGAAGAAGAGAAATAGGCAAAAGCTTGATGAAGAGATTACTAATATTACTCCGTCACCTCATGGTGAGGTAGACTCACTTGCCCTTCACAGTGATGTGAGTAATGGGATTCAGTTGATTGGAGCTCCCGAGACGCTTGAACCCAATTCGGAATTGTTAGTGAATCAAGAGGGCATGACAAGTGGGAGGGGTCTGGATAGAAGGAAAAGGGGGAGAGGTAAACATTCTTTCTCAAGCCATGGTGCTTTTGGTGTTACTAATAGTGCTGCATTAGGTTCTAGAAAAGTGAACAATTATGTTCACGAGGCAATTGGACGGTTTTTGTATGATATTGGGGCACCTCCAGATGCGGCAAACTCTGCTTATTTCCAACCGATGATTGATGCAATTGCTTCAGGAGGTTCCGGGGTTGAGCCTCCCACGTACCATGATCTTCGAAGTTGGATATTGAAGAATTCGGTTGAAGAAGTGAGGAATAATACTGATAAATATAGGGCAATGTGGGGAAGAACTGGTTGTTCAGTTTTGGTTGATCAGTGGAACACGGAGTCAGGTAAGGTTTTGCTAAGTTTTTTGGTGTACTGTCCTGAAGGAACAGTATTTTTGGAATCTGTGGATGCATCAGACATTATAAATTCCTCCGATGCTCTTTATGGATTGCTTAGGAGAGTGGTAGAAGATGTTGGAGTAAAAGATGTGCTGCAAGTGATTACTAGTAACGAAGAGCAATATATGGTTGCAGGGAGAAGGCTGACTGATACTTTCCCTACTCTATATTGGACTCCATGTGCAGCTCGGTGCCTAGATTTAATACTTGAGGATTTTGGTAGCATTGAGTGGATAAATGCAGTAATCAAACAAGCTAGATCTCTTACAAAGTTTGTGTACAATCATAGTGTAGTGTTGAATATGGTTAGAAGGTCTACTTTTGGGAATGACATAGTAGAACCAGGAGTTACTCGCTATGCTACAAACTTTACAACATTAAAACGACTGGTTGATCTGAAACACTGTTTGCAGGTCATGGTTACTTCACAGGAGTGGATGGACTCCCCATATTCAAAGGAACCGGAGGGATTGGAGATGTTAGA